TGGTGCAGTAACTGATGTTTTCACTTAGAAGATGTGGAAGACGCGGTCTCAACATTGCGTGTACTTATTTCGAAAGAAAAAGTTTTCACTTCTGTGCCTTATTGTATAGTAGATATCAGTGCTCGTTGTCTGTCAATGCTAACTTGTGATGGCTGGGATTCAGGATTGTCTTCGTGTTTCACCAACAACACTCTCAAAACTCTCTGTGAACTAGAACTATCGCTGAATAGTTCTATTAAATACCACTCGTGCTTTGGAAATTCTCATATAAAACCCCTTCTCGTTTCGCGAGTCAAGAATTTATCGACATTTGAGTTGCTACTCGGCAAATTTTCTTAATCGATGACCTTGCATCCCCATCTCTGGCACAATAAATAGATGAAGGCAAAAGCTCGCAACGAGCACTGATGACAACATTCCAAACACATCTTCACTGCTGCGAAATAGAAACTATTTTCTGTTAAAGGCCATGATTTTCTACCGTGACCCTTCTACCAAAATTTTCTCAAAAAAATCTAAAGTACATGGCCGAAGTAGGTGCAGATCCTTCACAGAAGGTTCCTCAAACCCCTGAGAAAGAACGCAAATTAATGAGAAATTAGCGAAGGCATCACTGATTCTCCAGAGATTGGCATTGCTTCATAAAATCTAATGGCGGATTACTTAACTAATACCCCCACTCTACCCGCATTTCTTCAATCCATCATTCAAGAAATGTCGCACGAGTAATACAACCTATGATAAACAATAATTACCACTACGGTTAGGTGTAACTCGCGTGTTTTGAAATTTTGTTTTATGTAGCCACGCGCTGGAAAGTTCTTATTGCGAGGACGCAAGTTATTCCAAAGATGTCACTACTTGAATTACCTTCAGCTTCCACCATCGTTAAAATACAGCGTTCATATGTAAACACATGATGCACCAAGAAAATAACTACGATGTAATATTATGTATCTGTATCTAATAAACAAAACAAAAGTATGACGACAAATCACAAAATGGTTTTTAAAAACATCTACCATATGGAAATTCATTTCTATCAAAGTAATTCTTGATACAATCTTCATAATGAATGGGCAATATTTCAATTTTAATAGATTTTGTCAAATTTAATCTTTATTTTTCCTATTCCTATATCTATATAAAGATCTTTTTATTTTATTTTTATTAAGGTGTATGACATAGAAATGTGCACAATACTGTTAAATTCGTGATTCATTTAATCTGAAACATGGTTTTTGTAAGCGCCAATAGTAACTGTAATAAAAATATATACTTTTGTCTCTGTTTCATTTTTGTTAAGTTCGAGGTGAGAGGTATAATATTATCAGTATTTTCTGTAAATGACATATTTTACTTTTTAATAACGTTATCTTTGAAATAAAGAAATAACTCGGAGATAAGTAAATCCGAAGCTCAAAATTTATACTTAAACCCCGAAGTCTTCGGGTTGAATCCGAAGTGGTGGCAACTTTCTAGTTGTAAGATCAATTTATCAAAATCCTCTAAAACATCAATGTAATCTAAATTAAAGCTCTGATGAGTTAGATGCCATCTCCCCCTTGGAAATGCACAAGACTTTTCTATCAGAATATTGCCACGGTTAAATACGGGAGTGACGGGAATTGAATTTATTAAAATTGATATAATTAAATAAGAAATTTCTGTAAAAGAAAATAAGACACGCTTACTCAGTTTTGCAAAAATGGTTCCTGCCTTTCCGCCATCAAGGGAGCTATTATTATCATCAATACCATCTCCATTTGCCACGACAAAAGGCATCCTTCTGAGGGCAGCATGATGTGGCAATGTTATCGCAAAAGACTTTCTCTCAAGCCACGTTAATCTCCTGGGCTCCAATGTTGTCCCAAGCTTTGCTTACCTGCTTAGCTGACCAACGTGACCACCCGTTGCGACATTTTATGGATTCCTCTTGGAAGGTACATCAACGAATAGTGAGTCACGTACTCTGCAAAATAAAAAAAAAATAAAAAAAACTTCGTTTTTATGTAAATTTGTTTTGAATTATTGTCGTATTTTTTTGATATATAAATAAATTTCTTCTTTGGACGACACTTACGTTGGTAGCACGAATTGCAACTTGTACAAAATTAAAATCTAAATGGCGTAGTTCCCACAATAATAACAGATGCCGGATGTGTTGTCCCCTTTACTAGTTTCCCAGAGATAAAATTGCTAGTAACATGGATGCAATTGTTAACCAAACAAAATTCACATGTAAACGTAATTTATCCCATTAATTGAATTTCAAAATGCGAGCGTAGTGATTGAAAAGCTATTTTGGTTTCATCATCAGGTGATCTACATTTTCGAGTGAAGAATCCTAGTTACAACGTTATCTTATATTCAATAGAAACAAGGAGAGGAATTGAGGAATATTATCTTGAAGCTACCTGTCGTATAGTAGGATGACCGCAATACGTGAGGTGCATCAAAACGTTTGTACCACAATTAAAGAAATGGAGAGGGGTATAGTACGAAATTGAGAGGGATGTTCGGGGCGGTGAATGATGGCATTTGTGTTCTTTTATCGTTAGGTGTTGTGATGTTGATTTTTATAAAACAAACCGCTTTTAAAACGATAGGCTTGTTTCGGAATATAACTTGAAATATACAACATTAATGTATGGATTTTGATTGTTTTTAGTTCTAAAGGAATTTTTTTCATTTGTTAATGAGAAACTTCAGTTTTCTTCTTTCCACACCGCTAGCGCCTGATGCGAATTTTCCATTGTTGATAACGCACCCGCAATATTCCATGAGTACGGGGTAACCCGCTTAGATTGCCACATCGATTAAGCGGTTACTTCAATTAACGGCCACTGATTCGCGGAACCGATTGATTATCCCACAAGCCACACGTTCACTAATACAACGCGCCAGGAAAGTGTCTCCGCAGTGTAACCAGTGGCTGGTGAGGGTGCTAGCAACAGAAATTACGTTGGTAGCACGAATTGCAGCTTGTACAAAATTAAAACCTAAATTGCGTAGTCCCCACAATAATAACAGATGCTGGATGTGTTGTCCCCTTTACTAGTTTCCCAGAGATATAATTGCTAGTAACATAGATGCAATTGTTAGTAAGAGCCCGTGCAATTGTTAGTAAGATTCGGCACAGTGCGGCGAAACTTCACTGGCACACGATATTTGCTCTTTTGAGCGGTCACCTTGACCCCACGTTCAACGACCTCGCATTTTTTGTGTATACTAGAATAAACTTCAATAGACGATGATTTATTAAATTGGTTTTTGTGTTATCTAATTTTAAAATCAATATAGTGCTTCACTTGTCATTACTCTGACTGAAGGCGTATTTTCCTTTAATTATATGATTTACATTAACATCGGCCCTAAAGCGACGACGTAGCCGGGTTAATGTGTGCGCCACATGTTTTTTTATGACTCGTTAATTAGTTTGAGATTCATTCATTTGAATGTTAATTTTGTTATTCTTTATAGTATCACATTACCGTGTATATCCAACCGGGTATCTCCCCCAGTGGGGCACCGCTCCCTGCCGGGAGAAGCTCTCCTAATAGGTGTGGAAGTGTTGTGCATGTGAGGGTAAGCACGCTGCACCCTTCCCCTCCGCGTACTTACACGGAGCTCCAAGCCCTTGCACTCACGTAGTAGGCTATGTAATGTTAGACAAGGGCGAAAGATGTGTGAATGTAGAAAAAATTAACCAATCAAAAAAGGAAAAATTCTCCAGTATTTAAGAATTCATATTACCTGGAAGTTAGGCGTGCCAAAGCACCAGTAGTTTAGCTATACAATTAGTTTAAATTTGATTTTTAGCTAGTTATTAAGACAATTCCTTCCCCACTTAACCCGCAAGGCAGCAGCTTCATGTATCCGACATATAAAATTAAATTTTCGCCTTCACAGGGGTACTGTGTAGGGGAAAATTGGAAAAAGAATTACGCTACATTCAGAATTGATCAATCAAAATTAAAATTGAAACATCATAATTCATTCCTTTTTGAAAAGAAAGTGAATCAGGGAAATCATAAACTCTCTTAAGTCCGGACAATCAAACAACCTATTAATATTGTAAAAACGTGTCCCTTCAAAACTTCAATTTTTAACAATCCATGTGTAATATTTGGAGTTTGAAGTCACTAAAATTGATGTTAGTGTGTTTTTATCACCCAGCTTGAGCTACAGATTTTCCTTTTCAGCAGCTCACATATGAATGAGTCATTCCAGAACATCTCAAACGCCCTGTTTACACAATATCGTGTTTTTTATTTGTAAGTTTCTTCACACACATTTTTGATTCTGTAGAAGCCAATATTTTAACTTTTTTGTTTTTAATCCATTTGAATGAGTTCCTAAAAGAGATACAATTAGGCACGAAATACCTGCACACAAAATAAATTTATTCTGAATTCTTTAGATATCGAGACAGCAAGAAAAAAGAAAACTATTGTAATTTATTGTGACTTTTTCCTGGCTTTTCCACCCGACAGCCGGTTACCCTTTACGTCCAGGGACGCGTATTCGACCTATACTACACACCAACACACTTGCTGAGTGGAGTCGACAAAACGCGAGACCCTCCGCGACAACACGCACATGGAAGACAAGGGACCATGTCCAGGTGGGACTCGAACCCGCAACCTTTGAGACCGAAACGCTTAGTTGGTACACGCTCTTAGCCACAAGTCATCCAAGTCATTTTGAATTAAAATCAGCACCTTAAACTAACTTGCAGCAGTGGAGAGCGCATTCCATTGCAAAATACCAATTCCAATTCTATTCAATAACATAATGACTCATTTTCTATCTTGGGCCGCACGTATTATTCCGCAACGACTGTGGTCTCCTCTCACTGGTGATTCAGCATCTTCACCAGCGTACTGTGTCTTAAAGGCACCCTTCCCCGTCACGTGGTTCGCTACGTCACCACCCTGTCATCCCTCCCGAAAAGATAATCAGAATCCTCACTATCAGGACGGACATTTGCTTTGCAGTTCGAGTGAAGTTTCAAGTGCAGTGTGTTCGGCGAGTAACATCTGAGAACCAGCTTTCTGGACAATCCTTTCACCATGGTAAGAGCACTTTCTTTATTTAGAAATTTATTTGGGCCCAAAGTAAACAATACCTATATGCTTGCAATATTGAAGTTTGTTCTTTTAATGTAAATTTACTTTTAGTGACAAGAAAGGTAAATTGAATCATAAAGACAGAATATACGAAATGTATTTAATATTAGAATGACATTCTTGATCTAACCTTACGATAAAATTTCGATTAACTACAAACTGCATATTTTTTTTGCAAATGTAATTATATAAAATCTGAAACTTGCCCAAGTTTTTGGTAATATTAATCCAGATTATAAGAGCTTAGAATGACCCTTTATTCAATTTACTTAAACAATTCATTGCGGATTTATATTTTAATAACAAAAATTTGCTCCGTAGCTACTTTTTGCAGAGAAAGGGTGCTTAATTAAAATGATATGCCAGGCTGAAAATTCACGTTGTTTCAGTCCGCACTGCTGTGTTCCTGTCATGGATACCTGTGCCTGTTTAGATTGATACACCGCACAATTCGCAATTGTAGAAATACTGTTATAATTTCCTTCTCAAAAGAGGTAAGTGTCAATTCCATCATATTTTATTGATTTATTTTTTCTTCTTTCTCCTCTTGGAGATCAGCTAGGAATTATGTGCCAACTTCAATTTATCGTCTTTAATTGTTTTCTCTCTCTTTCCGATATACTTTCACTGTTTCTTTCTCTCTTCGTTTCGACCGCTTTTCTTCTCTCCTTCTCTCCTTTGCCATGGAAATCTTAAGTTTCATAACATCTTGTTTTCAAGTGGATATATTTTGATATTTTTTTCTCTTTCATACTATTTACTTCGTACTTAAAATAAGTTTAATGTTATATATTCATGCTGTTAATTACTTATCGCATAGGTTTTAAAAAATATATTTTACCGATAGCCATCCATTCTATGAATATTCCAAAAAGAATTGCTTTTCTCTCCCTAAAACAATTACTCTTTTCCTCAGTTTCTGATATAATTATCATCTATACATTTGGGTTTTTCCCTAAGGGTTTTCCTCTAGTCAGAAATGTGAACTTTCTACTGAACCAAATTTATATTTTTTTCTTTACAAGAAAGGTAGTGGACCCCTGATGTGCTATTGCATGCTTGTATTACAAGGTTTTATAATGTAAACACTAAATTTTAACAAAGTCGTAAAATTAACAGAATTGACGCTTATCGGTCGTCATTTATTCATTTCATCTTTTTGTGGCGTCAAGACCTTCTTCTTTAAGTTAAAGGAGCAATGATTACAAGAATTTTAAGTTCGATAATTCGGTGATTTTACATTCAAAGATTAGAGAGTGTGTACAACAGAAATGTCCAGCAATCGTTTGAAACTGTTTTCGTTTATAAAAGCAATCAGTATTGTCTGTGATGCATTGCGTTTTTAAATAATGATGGACTACAGTTCCCAACATTTATAACCAGATCTTGCTAAATATAAAACATTACAATTACTTTTCAGAAATATATTTATGTGATCGGTGTATAGTGACTGCCTTGTTCCAGAATTTGTAATCCTCCCGCATTTCATTAGATCAAGTACTAAACTTTATGAAACAAAATGTTTGAGACGTTTCGATTTTCGGTATAGTGCACATGCTCCACTTTTCAGCAGTTTTTCCTTTTGTGCGACGTATTCGCAAGGATTTACCTAGGTATCTGTTATTTATCGTGAATCAACTTCTTTTGCAGCCATAATTTGACCCGTGAAGATAAAAATCTCTTTTCAAATTTATATCAAGAATTGACACGAAATATTTTTAACGTTCTCTTGAAAAATTCTAGTTTTATTCATCCATTCATTCCATTTTTAATTGGTCCAGAATTAAATAAATTAGTCATCTGACCATCTCAGATAAATTTCATACTTTGTATGTAAATTTCTTTAGGTTCAGGATTTCAAAACCTTTAAAAATGTGTACTGTGTGGTTCACAAAAGCTAGCGTTTTTGTTGCAAGCCGCGTAAATTTTTCGCGATTCTAGACGTGTACAGTTTCGTAAATTACTCAACGCAAGATTGTGGTGGCTTTTTAAACTAAATTGTATTGGATTAAGCACAATCTGACCAACAAATAAAAGTAATATTTATCCCTTAATGTTTTTCTTGGGGTAACATTTGCATCCAAACTATGGAACGCGAATGAACGAATTTCAATGTGTCAACTTTCGAAAAATTTTTCAAAGAAGAAATAGAGTTACAGTCGTATGTTTCTTTTGCTTTTGCACAGAACTATGTGGTTACTTAACTTGAAGCACCGTATCACTTAAAAAGTACACCCTCCTAAAATAGGAAATTTTCATTCTTTTCAAATTTTAAACTTGGGATTAGATACAAATTTGAAATTTGCATGTATACAGTATCGCAAACTGTACTATAAATTTCAACTTTGAGATAAAATTTAAAGTGGATTTTTTTAAATTTTAGCACATTTCCTCAATTAGAAGTGGTGACAAGGAAAAATGTAATTACCCTACAATTTTAATCTCAAATTTACCTTCCTTTACAATAATAAATAATATTTTCTCATAAATTAACATAAAAGCTGAGTAGTATATTACTATTATTATTTGTTCATCTCAGAGTAATCTTTGGTATTTGCTCTGTGAGACGTCGTACAGACATTTCTCACCCAAGTCTAGTGTTGATTTAACACAGTGAAAACAATTCCACGTTTCCAGAATAACTGATTTTTGGGCTTTAGGTTTTATGATACTAGTTTCTGGGCCCACTGTTTCCAAGAATCCGTTCAAATTTTTGTTGACCAAACCGGTTACTGTGATTTCTATTAGGAGTATTTTCACTGAATTTCAGTTCATACATTTCTTTATACTCTCTTGCAAAGCGGGGTGCATTCAGATATTGTCTCAGATTCTCCTCTATTAATATTGGGATCAGCCGGATGAGTGAAATCAATGAAGACTGCATTTTTTCCCTTTCAAACTGTGCAACATAATGTCGGGTCTATTGGCGGCAACACACTAATCTGTGTGAATTGGAATGTTGTAGTACAGTTTGTAATATTTGTTTTCCATTGTAGGTATAGCTTTATATTAATAATATGGGAAAGTCTGTTCGACTGAAAGAAGTCAGTTTTAATGGTAAATTGTTTTAATGATTAATATGTTTCTTAGCCTTCTTTTGCCGCCGTGCTCTTTTTTTCTGTCTTCTTTCCAAGCTTTTCCTGTTCTACACTTAAGGTCCCGTAGAAAAAGAACAGTGCAATATCCCAGATCGTCAGTGTAAAAGTTTCCTTGTTACAGTATCATGGATCGGGTATCCTGCAACTGTTTTTTCGTGAATTTTGTTGATCGATTTCATATTTATTATTTATAATATATATTGTGAATTTTTTATTTTTATTTTATTATTTATTTTATTAATTTTTATTTTATTTTTATTTTATTTTTATTAATTTTATTTAATTTTATTATTTTAATTTTATTATTTTAATTTTATTATTTTAATTTTATTATTTTAATTTTATTATTTTAATTTTATTATTTTTAATTTTATTATTTTATTGCCATGTGTGTGTGCGCGTGTGCGTGTGCGTGTGCGTGTGCAGAGCCTGCGGCGCGCGCAGAGGGAGGCTGCGCTGGCGGCCCGCGTCGGGCCAAGGCGCTGCCGGTGAAGGTGCTGCTGCGCACGTTAACGTGGAGCGACGACGACGTGACGCACGCGCTCTTCGCCGCCTCCTCCGCCTGCTCCGCAGCGCCATCGCCCTCGCGCACCCGCGCATCTTCCAGGTACTGCGCCGCGCCGCTCGCGGTGCCTCGGCAACAGGCTGTCGCTTTACTCGAAATGGATTTAGTTAATTGTTTTTTAATGTTTTAATTTAATTTAAATTTAATGATTTTTGTGGATTTAGTTAGTTATTTTTTATTTTTGTGGGGGTTTTTAACGTCAAAAAACATCCACTAACACATCTAACAACTGTGTGAATTCACCGAACATTCGCTTAAAAAAGATAGTCATCTTCAGTTCATCATTACGTCGACATCAGTCTATCGCTATACTCAAAATGGATTTATTTATTGATTGATTTTTTTTATTTATTCACTTTTTTAAAAATTTTATTTCCTTATTGTTTCTTTTATTTAAAGTTAAAAATATTTTAAAACTGTGTTTAGGCTTAGTGTCGTGGTGTGTACACTCTGTGCAGGTTTTCCTGACCTCTGGGAACCCTACTGTTACCATATTAAATTGAATTACAAAAGGAGGAAGCAACTGCGTTTATAACCTCCCGGCTATATCTTGCACTACATTCACGCCCCTGATGACCAAAGTAATTGATGCGCCCGAAAACGCCAAATATTCACTCACTTGTAGGTGAAGGGGTGATAAAAATTATGCTACAAACATAATCCGAAAGGCTCTAATTGAAAACTAATAGAAAATGGGTTTTCCAATCCTAAACTTTTGTCGCAGGATCCAAGATCCGTGCTAGTGACTGACAGAGCACTATTGATGTGACGTCTCTGTATCGCTAGTGCTGAATAACACATCATTTGTTTTTAAAACGCGTACATGTTAACATAGTTGTTTAGGTGTTTAGAATTACATTTACAATTTACACGGAAAATATTGTACAAGATGTCATTTAATAGTGTATTTTATGCACTGTTATTTCTATAAAATACACTAGTGTATAAACACTAGAGTATTTTCTCGAACGAATCTTTTCAATCCTAATTTATAATCAAACATAATAGAAAAGGTGTACATTATTTAAATCTAATACGGTCTATCATTTGTTGACAAATTATTCAAAAACCCACTCATGTTGAGTAGGTAAGTTCAAACGGTAAGTTCAAAAGGTACGTTGAGCAGGTACCTTCAGTCGGAAAGTGAAGTCGCTGCTTTGATTCAGAACTTTGAACAGGTACCTTGAGTCGTAATGTTCAATCGGTAAGTTTAGTTAGTAAGGCTTCATTCACAATGCAAACTCAAACGTAAACATTATGCTGTCGCAAAACCCAGAAATGGGTCATCAAGCGAAACCCCTCCCAATGCCTTGACGTAACTATAGACGTAAAGCCGTAAACTTTATCTTAATATAAAAGCTTGGTGCTTGTGAACTTTGTTGGAATTCTACCGAAGACCAATCAGAGAGCAGAATGAAAGAAACAAACGTGGATTGTGTTCAGGTAGTTTGTGGGTATGTCATTCTTGCTGGTTTGCGAACGGTTTTGAAGTGAAGGTGACTTGTGAATTCAAAGTAAGAATATGGGCCATTTTTCTTGTGGCTTTAACTTGATGTGGCGAATAAAATAATTACGTTCGACAAATCCCGCATGAATTTGGTACAAGAAAATCCTTCTTTGTAAAGTAAAGGAAATGCGAGCATCAATACACAGATACTCATTTATATAAAAGGACAAATCGGTAGGAAAATAGAAAAAAAAAGCATGGTGAAATGATCTTTCCACCATGGTAGAAACGAATCGACAATCAATAAATCAAGCTTCAATACCCTGAAATCTGATTGGATCAGGCGAACCTTACGTTTCAACTTACGTTCCTCACTGTGAATGCTTGTGTTTCTTCGTGTAAATTTAACCGCTATGTTTACGACATTACGTTACGTTAGTTTACTGTGAATACGGCCTAAGTTGAGCCGGTACATGGAATCGGCAAGTTCAGGCGGTTCGTTGGGCCGATACGGTTGGGCCGATACGGTTGGGTCGGTAGGTTGGGTCGGTAGGTTGGGTCGGTAGGTTGGGTCGGTAGGTTGGGTCGGTAGGTTGGGTCGGTAGGTGTGTGCTTCTACCGTGCGCTGGTGCTGCTGCGCAGGTGTCGGCGCCGTGGGCGGTGCTGGGCGCGGTGCAGGCGGAGAATGTGGAGGCGCTGCGCGGGCTGCTGGAGGCCGGCGTGCCGCCCGACCAGCCCATCGGCCCCATGCGCCAGACCCTCCTGCACATGGCGGCCGCCTGCCGCAAGTGCGACGGCGTGCAGGAGCTGCTCATGCGCGGCATCGACCCCAACCCGCGCAACGCCAACGGAGAGACGCCGCTTCACAGGTAGGCCCCGGGTTCGCGACGCGACGACGGTGCCGCCGCGGGTTCTGTGGAAATGTCCAGGTTTTACACCGAATTGAGTGGCTCAGGGCGTCAACTGATGTCGTTATGAGCGGGAGGTCTTAGCGTCCCATTCCCGACGGTGGCAGGGTTTTCGACACTGGCTAGGTCGTATTCAGCCGCTGTCTAGCGGAGAATTCTAGCGGCTGGCTGCTCTAATCGGTAGTTTTCCCTTGTTTCTCAGACCAAAATCAGACGAATGACGGGAGAATACCCTAAATAAACGGACCACGCACTATCCTATCTTTCCTTCTCTGCCTTGTCCTATCTTCACCTCCTACTTACACACATTTACACTTACATGCACGCTACCACACATCTCGGGAGACCGGTCGGGAGATACCCGGTGAAATGCTGGTTCGGGCTTCGTCAACAAGTGAACGGAATTTCACTCCCAACCCACGCGATACACACACACGCACACGCACACGCACACGCACACGCACACGCACACGCACACGCACACACGCGCGCGCGCGCGCATATATATACACTACACTTAGGGCGCAAATGACTTTCGTTATTGCGTCCGGAAACTCTAATCAATCAATTAACCAATTTGCTGCGTGTTTCTCCAAGCACTTTCACAACGAATGAGAACTGTAGTTTCAAAGTATCCAAATGTTCGCCCCTTTCCAAAATTTTCATCCCTTCAATGTTGTCCTGCCTTCTAAAAATTTCGTTTTTCAAAATGTGTGTGTGTGTTTCTTCTAAAGTATTTTCTGCTACAAGTGTTCTTCGGTTATTTGAACCATTTTGAGCATTTTTGCCATTTTGGATATTTTTATTACTTGGATAGTTTCCCCAATTTGGATATTTTCAGCATTTCTCAGATTTTCACTATTTTGCATATGTTCAGTTTTTGCAACACAATATTTGAGATTTTCACCATTATGCATATCTCCTCCATTTTGGACGTTTTCGCTGTTTAGACCTTTTTCGCCTTTTTGTATAAATGCACCGCATTTAGCAGTGGTAGCAATTATAATAGTTTTGATCGTTCGACATTTTCACTATATTTTCTTTTTTGATTTTTTTTCATTTTGATTACTTTTACCATTTTTTCAAAATTCCACTCTTTGGATACATATCATTTTGGATAATTCTCGTCTGAATATTCAGCAATTTTGATTCCACAATTTTGCTTGTTTTGATAGTTGCATACCTCCTTTAATTAGGAAATGATTTTGTTTTCATTCGCTATTTTTGGCTATTCGCATCTTCTATGCAACTTTTGGCCACTTTTCAGCTTTTTTTCACTTCGCATGTGGCAGCCTGTTCCCATATTTTTTGCTACTTTGCGTCTTTTAGTCATTTTGGAAATTAAATTTTTTGCTTATTTTCATATTGGTTTGGCTGTCTATTCCTTTCCGTCCCCGTCTCTCAAAACCCCACCTTATCTTCCTCTCGCAATGAATGCCCCGTCTAACTAACCCGCCCCCGAACTAAACGATTCTGCGCGGCAGAGCGGCGACGTACGGGCGAGCGAACATCGTGTGGCTGCTGCTGCACCACGGCGGCGCGAGCGTGGACGCGCGCTGCCGCCGCCTGCAGACGCCACTGCACCGCGCCGCCCACCGCGCCCACTCGCGCTGCGCCGACGTGCTGCTGGACATGCGCGCGGCCGTCGACGCCAGGGACGTGACGGGGGCCACGCCCCTCCACCTGGCCGCCACCGCCTCCCGCGCCGCGGACGTCGTGCAGGCGCTGCTCGAGCGCGGCGCAGACCCCGAGGCCTTAACCAACTGCGGTAAGTGAATCTGGCGCGGAATGAATCTATTCTTTAGATGGATCATTGATTAGGGTTTTACACAAGGAATACCGGCTTTGGTGGTTCAGGGCAGCAATTGAAGTAATAGCCGGAGAGAGGATCTCTTTCATGTATCTTGATCATTGATTAGGGTTTTACGCAAGGAATACCGGCTTAGGTGGCAATTGCAGTAAGAGCCGAATAGAAATATATCTTTCGTTAATCTTGCGCGGAATGACTCTTTGCTTTAGACTGATTAGGGTATTACACTTGGAATACCGGCTTTGGTGGTTCACGGCAGAAATAGCCGTAAGAGCCGGACAGAAGGATCTCTTTCGTGTATCTTCTCGGAATGACTCTTTCCTTTAGATGGATCATTGATCAGGGTTTTACACAAGGAATACCGAATTAGGTGGCAATTGCTGTGAAAGCCGGATAGAAAGATATCTTTCGTCAATCTTGCGCGGAATGACTCTTTTCTTTCGCCTGATTAGGGTATTACACATGGAATACCGGCTTTGGTGGTTCAGGGCAGAAATAGTAGTAAGAGCCAGACAGAAGGATCTCTTTCGTGTATCTTGCTCTGAAAGTCTCCTTTCTTCCGAAGAATGATTGATTAATGTTTAGAATGAATATCGGGTTAGGTGGCTCATTTGATGTCCTAAGATTCGAGTCCCGGCGATGCAGAAGTTTCAACACTGGCTACATGGCTATGTGGAATTCAGCCACTGTCTAGGGCAGAATTCTAGCACTCTAATAATATTAATATTAATAATTATGTATTTTTCTGGCTAGGCTGAGGACCTAAGGCCTGCAAAGTGCCTAACCACTTAAATATTTACATTTACATGAACATGTACATAATTACAATGAAGGCGTTCTGGCACTGGTGAACAATGTTAATTGTGCACCAGTTCTTTACGGACGTGCAGTGACTATATTAGCTAACGAGCATTTGCTGCACATAAGTAATTAAACATTAAATTTGAATGTATTTTCATAGTCAATTTTCTTGTTTTAAACTACCAGACAGACCTTCAAGTATTCCCCTTCATGGGACCCCCAGAAGGAACAAGCTTTCGGCTTCCTACGTCTGTGTGTGTGTAAGTGCAATATGTGTGTGCGTGTGTGTGTTGTGTGAGTTGAAATGTTAGTCAGTTTAACTTTGTGTGTGCGTGTGCGTGTGTAAATGGAGAGAAAGGAACAAGTGCGAGGGCAGAAAGATCGCGCGCGGCCTGTGACCTGTTTAATAAAGTTCTGCTCCGGCATTCGTCTGATATTGCTCCTAAAATGGAAAAGTGATCGGAGCAGCCAGTCACTATAATTATTCTCAAAAAATTGTTAGAATTCGACTTAACAGTTCAGCCAGTCTCAAAAATCTACGATCGTTCAGACTTAACCTCTTGGTAAAAAAAAGCTGTACATTAAATCTATGAATTTTATCAGTATCAGAGTAATATTTGGTGTCATGGTTATTTTCACGAATGTATTGGTCACAAATAGAATCATATTTCTCAACTAGAACATAGAAATTTGGACGTTTCAAATCATTCTCGTCGAAGAAACCAACGAATGTTTGTCGGTGTTGTGTAGGGCGGCGTCCTGTGCACTACGCGGCTGCTAATGGCAAATACAAGACCATCCAGCAGCTGGTGGACGCCGGCGCTGACATCAACGCTCGCACCTCCTCCGGCAACACAGTCTTGCACATCGCCGCCTCCAGCTGCAGGTGAGCCCACGACAGCGCACTCTCGTATTGACACGTTCCTATACGCGTAAATTGCGTTAGCAGTGAAACAAAATCAGCAGCGGTTAATCGCTTTTTTAACTTGTGTTGAGAATAATTTTATTCGTAATGTTGCCAGAGGCATTGAGATTAAGTACAGTATACTAGTAGCTGTAATGCATTAAGGTCAATTGGAAAAGGCAGGTTGAAATAAAGTGGTTATCTTGTTTCTATTTTACTGGCAGATGTATTTTTTTTACGTCCAATGTTATGGATATGTCCCGAACTTTGAATGTGCCGTAGATTTTATGCACGTCAAACACGTTGGATATGCCCCTGTTACGTTTACAACGGGTTTTATTTATTTTTTCTTTATAGAGCAAACAAAAGTCCTTTAAGAGCAAATGCCTCCTTCAGAAGGGTGAAAAGTTGGCTTTTATCTTTATACCAAAAGAAACTTTTACACAATTTTATTCAAAATGAAAATTTTAGCAATACTACAAAATATTATTTAAATGAAAACTATCTGAGCAGTTTATATAAAAATTTAAACTTTCGTAAATTACAAAAGATAGCTCACATTGAATTACTTTTTTTATAAAAAGAAACGGATGTATCTCGCTAAGTATAAATTATTAATCTCACAAAATGGAAGTAAAGCAAATTATAAGAGTATACAATTATTATTACTCAGACTTTAATCACGTAAATACTCGCTAAATATGAAAGACATAAGTTGTCGCTCACTTTTCCCCTAAAGCTGGTTAATAGGCACTGATTACACTTAAATCTCTGGTTAGGCGACTTTCCTTTTGGTTAGAGTACTTAGTGCTTAATTTTAGAGAAAAGGAGAGAGAGAGAGCCGCCGTATATTTTTTGTAACAAAAATTTTAAAACATTATTCTGAATTGAATTAAATATTACACAAGTAAATGCTCTCTAACATTGTCATGTATATGATACAAAATATCGTACAGATGTATTCTATTTCCCTTTTTTACTAAAACGCTGGTTACTTCCTTAATATGTCAGAAATATTCGTCTTAGCCCAACATTTTGGTTAATATGCCTAAAGGCGGCTCCGCACATTCGGCATTCACCATTCACCGAGGAGCGAGCTACTGCTCGCTCAATCCGGAGCAGCTGATATGTTCGGCGAATGTTCGCTCCCTTTGATGTGTCCTAGAGCCCGACTGGCAGTGAGTAGTGTAAATGCCGAATGTTCGGCGCTCGGCGAATCGCAAGCGCACCAGTCACATTACTCGGGATCCGGCGAGCGGTTGCTCTGGATTGGCCGAATGCCGCATGCGTGGAGCCGCCTAAACGTTTCGCTCTGTACGTCCAACGCGTCGGACACAACGTCCACCTTTTATCCCCTAACGCCGCCCGCGTTTTGCGTGCGCAGCAGCGCGAGGTGCGTGGAGGAGCTGGTGCGGCACGGGGCGGACCTGCACGCGCGCGACCGCCACCGCCTGACGCCGCTGCACGTGGCGGCTGCGCACGGCCGAGGCGCCGTGCTGCGCGAGCTGCTGCGCCTGGGCGCGCGCACGGACCTGCAGGCGCTGCGCGACTACACGCCCCTGATGATCGCCATGGCGCGACGCGACCAGGCCTGCGTTCGCGCGCTCGCAGAGGTAAGCGCTTCAGACCGTCTCTTGTCTTTTAGTTTTTCGCCCTTTCAGAGCAGAGAGGGTAGAATGAATGGAGAGGGCAGATTGGGTTGAATGGGCAGTGGGGGTAGAGTGGGTTGAATGGACAGAGCGGATAGGGTGTGCAGAATGATCAGAAGGAGCCTGGAAGGACAAAATGGATGAAGGGAGATTGTACTCTCATACTATTATTAATTATTATTTTTATTATTATTATTATTATTATTTATTATTATTATTATTAAGTATTATTTATTATTTGGGGAGGGGGGACTTCACCATTGTCTATCGACCGAACATACTACCACGATCTGGTCCGAGAGTGAACCACCGGATTGCGCAGCCTAAAATTCCAAGGGGGAAAAACTACATTTATGGGATCCCTTTGCCATTTATGAAAGTTTTTCATATTTACATATGCCACGGTTTTTTTAATAAATAAATATCGTAAAATATACTACAGAATTAAATTACGTTACTTACTGCTTTAGACACATATAAAGGGTTCTACATTGAACTATTTACAGGTTGTCAGACCTGGAGAGCCTCTTCCCGAAATATCTAACAAATTCCCTAATTTAATGAGATTGACAATTTAATTTAAATTGAGGAACATTATTGTGGTCGCTAATGATCGCTAATGCGAACAGTGGTCGCTAATGATCTCGGCTCTTTCCGAGGCAAATTTGAGTTAAAAACAAAAACTTTCTATAAATACCTAATTATTTGGTTAAAAATTGGAAAATCAGGAATTAAAATGATTTTCGGAAATAAAATTTCATCACGTGCCCCTTTGAAAATATTCAGGGTGCCCCATCCCCTCTGTTCTTAGTGATGTGACATCGATAACAATACTTCGATGTTACTAAACATCGATATTCAAAATTCAAACGTCCATTTTTAAAAAACATCAGCTTTAATTTATACCAGATGACTTTAAAACATGGTATTTGGTCGAGGTTTATTAACATAGATGTGACATCGACAAAGAAACATCTCAGTTTCCAAACATCACAGGGTCCACAAGTTAGTTTTAATTTTTGAAAGGGTTGAAGCAAAAAATGTACCTAAAATGTGTAACATGTTATGTACAACCGTATATAATACAGATTCAAAAATGTTCCCATTACTTGAAAAAGGCAAACAAATATCGTCGAACCGTTGTACTAATTAACTAATTAAGCCAAAAAGCATGTATGTCATAATGAAATGATTTCTTTAAACGAAGTACACTCTGTACACCAATCGGATCGTAATATCAATGAAAAAGAAACTATTTGACAGTTACAACCAACAAATAATTGGAAATCTGGTTTATCATTGCAAAACCTTTCCATTAAAATCTCGCTTGTTACACAGATTCAGGAGCTCTTAATGTTGTTCACAGGCAGGAACAGATGAAGTGGCTGCCAATCGACAAGGCCATTACGCTCTGATGGGGCCAACCCATAACCCTTCAGACCCGGAGACAGAAGAGGAAAGTGAACTCTAAGCACGCCTGCCCTTTCGAGCCTTTTCCTCTATTCTCTTAATTTCCAAGCTAAGATTTCACTTTCATACCTTTTCAGTAGAATTTACACTTCAACGCTCTTCAAGATGTGTAAATCTTGTAAAATCGTGACTATTTGTCTTTTGAGAAGACAAATTAAATTGCTTTATTGCTGCTTTCGTTCATCAATAGAATTTTTTCACGTTTCTCATCTCCTATTAATGTTGTAGTATTAAACTTCTTTTTTAATTGTTATAATATGTATTACTTTACGAGTTTTAATAAAATAAATATGTCACATGTCTTTGTACTATTTATTAGCCAATATTCTCCAATACTGTAACTCCAAGACAGACTTTGTGTGCAGAAACCAACAGCATGTGATACATTTTATAAATTATATTTTTATATCTTTTATATTTAGAAAATACTTTAAACCTGGTACTTTTATTACTTCAATAATGATCTTAAAATGTTTTTGAATAGATTCTCGAGATCTTTTTTACATACATTTATTTCGGAATGATTTCCAAGCACAAAACAAAAATTCCCACCTTTTAGAAATAATTTCAAGTAATATGTATTCTCTAATTATTACTAAAATATAGGCAAAGAAGTAAATAAATTTTTCTATAACTTTGAATTCTACCAACCTTATCTGCTGATAATCTTGCGTAACTTATTCAAAGTATTTTTTCCAAAAGACCTATTTAAATCACAAATAACTATGCAATCACAACCAAAATATAGACTATTACTAACCACGCACAAAATACTGAGCTGCAATATCGGTAGAATTCTATTCGCACAACACTCCTGGAAATTCAACTGAAATCTTTTATAAAACAAACATTATTTAATACACTTATAGATCGTAACAACTTATTAACCCATCTCATTCTCCAGAAGAATACTCGCCAATCATTTTCGTAAAACCAATCACAGCCTGAAGTCTTTTTAACAAAATATTTACTCGCACTTTAAACATTAAAATCGTTACCGCGTCTTCTTAAATTAATGAGTATTTTCTCCTTATTCCTAAAATATTACTAAAGATGGAGTTTTCATGCACTATCTAGCCCTAAATATGCATGCTAACTTGAATATTTCGCTACCAAAATTCCAGCATAATAGCATTTCATTCATTTTGTTTTGTCTGCCCTTTATAGCATTAAAAAAATGAACAATTTTTTCCATTTTTCTCAGATTCATTCCTTTGCCTAAAAAAATATTTTTCAACAAATAAAAGAACCTTTCTTGCATATGTAATAAGAAAATATTTATAGAGCGAATTTTGCCATTCTATCACTTCACAATATTTTGTGAGATATCAGATATCAGAGCAATATTTTGCATCGCATCCACAAACGCAACCCTCTTCTACCAGTTAGTTAATGTCTGAAGATATGAGAACTTTCAGTATTACTTTCGGTATTTCAGTACATTTCACTGTCCAAGCACTTTCCAATTTGTAGACGCTATTGCCGAAACGCAGCCCCTCATCCATGTACCTGTTTGTGGTCAGCTGGCCAGCCGACAGGTAGCCTCCCGCAAGGACCCCTTCACTTCCCGCTGTAATGCAGCCAGGAGGAGTTGGCCGTAGCCATCGGCACAAAAGGGGAAAAAAGGCGAGAATGTAAAAATAATCCTTTATTTCTTTTTACGAAACAGGCAGTCAGTAGTTGCTTTTTCCAGTCTTCCGAGATTTGAAGGGGTTGGGAGAAGGTAGTGCTAACCAGAGCTTGATTTCTGGAGGAACGTGACGGAACGGCCCTCCGGTAACTCGGAAATAATAATTAAATTAAATTATATTATGAATATATAACTATTTCTATTACATTAATAACGCAGACACACAAAAAAGAAAAAGGTTGTTTGACCCAAAGACAGGACACATGTTTCACTGTGTATATCGACACACTGAATCAAAATCTGAAGCCAGAATCGCGCCATCACCATCCAGTTTCTTAATTGCGAAATACCACCGTGAAACTGTAAATTGTAAATTTCATGGTATTTTTTCGCGAAGAATGAAAGGTGATGGCACAGTCCCGGCTTCAGATTCGGATTCAGCGTGTTGACATACAAAGAAAAACACGTGTCAAATATTTGGGTCCGACCACAACTTCCGAAAACAAAAACAAAACAAAAAAAATGTTTTCACATTTTTTTCGATATAAAAGAAACTGGAGGGTGATGGAGAAATTTTGGCTTCAAATTCGGATACGACGTCGACATACTTGGAGAAACATGTGCCAAGTCTTTGGATCTGACACCTTTTTCATTTTGTGTGCCTGTGTAATTAATTTGGTGCGCGTTTCGGGATCTAACATTTGATAAATCAAGCAACCTCATTTCATAAATCCAAATTAAAGGTTTACAATGTGGTGGTGGGTGCTCATATAACTGCAGTATTTGTGTACAAAGCAACCTGAAGTTTATATATAAAATAACACGTCTCATCGTGCTAAAACGTTACTTTTTCTCTGGCTGACAAAAAATTATAGACATGTGGTTTAGCAGTCTGAGTTTCCCAACCCATTCAATTTAAAAATGTAGGTCATCAATAAAGAAGCGTCAGCGACAATTGATTTTGCTTACTACATGCTACTTGTTATTTATGAATAATATGCACGAATTTTGAAGTCAACATAATTTATAACTAATAGAAAGTACGTAATGTCATATAAATATATAAAATAAGGTTTGAATATTAGTTTTTAGGAAACGCAAAAATTGGCGCGCGGTTCTGGTAAAAATTCCCATCGACAGAGGTCTTGAAGATACTACAAATATACTTTTAAGTAACGAACTTTTCCTAGATTATTTAACTAGTGTTGCTACAGCCACTAACACATATTTTCTCGCATTATTTGGTACTGTTATGCAGTATTATAATACTGCATTAACCGGAAAAAGTGCTTCTAAACAGCAAATTCAGCCTATATTTAAACTCAGGCCCTTAGAACTAACGCAACAGGCATATTACACCATTTCATCACCTACACCATCTACACTACTAAAACCACCAGCCCATTATCAATATTGCAGATTTTCAATGTCAATTTGTTCGCAACTTTCGAATATACTGAGAGTTATCGAAAATATAATTTGTACCATATTTTCAAACGCTACTTGGTTCATTCGACGAAAAATTGTAAAGAAATAATCTTCAAGTGTTTTCGAGAAAAGAAATAAATTAACAATGCTTTTCATCCTCAGAAAGGTCGCAGAATGGCTGCCGAAATTTTGGCACCTGTGCCTCGGGTGCAACGTCTCCCGGACAGCCAAGTAGCTACTGACCCCGACCGCGGAAACAGATGCTCTCTAACTTACAATACTTTTCAATACAGTAGAACCTCGCTAATCAGAGCCCTACAAATTCTAAATTTCGGATAATTCGAACAAAATTTGGAATGGAGGAAAATTAAACAAAGTAAATAAAATGCAATTTGTAGTGTAAAGAAAGGATTTAATCAATGACTGTAGAACTGAACAACTAATCATTGAAACAAGATGTCGAAATGCAACGTTTATTGCATTGGTAACTAGGGTATATATCACATATTTATGTAGCACTCATTTTGACTTAGAGGATCTTGCAAAATCTGTAATCTTCTTTTCCCGTAAGGAACTGAATCTGCTTGATGATGTGATGATGCGATCGCTACGCTACGTTGCAATTTTCTCGCACGCTACGTTGCATTATCTGGTAATCCTGTAGATGTATTTGTACATGTACGAAACATTTTTTTCGGATAATCCAAACATTTCTGAATCCGTACACCCCCAATTAGTTCTGATTACCGGGGTTCTACTGTACTTTCTTTTCAAATAAGTCAATGATGTCATTATATTCAGTGCATTTAGCACAGTTCGTGCAAAAACCATTATTAAACAATCTAGAATCGGCTTTGACAAATCTTGTTTTTAAAATTGGATTTATTTTACGAACAATTACGCAAAAACAACTCATATTTTTTTAAAAAAAGTATACATGACCATCTTTAGATATAATTTGAATAATAGGTTTCATTCAAAAGAAAGATATCTACCTTCAATATTGAAGTTACAAAAGACGCCGAGAATAATGAACTTTTGATATTTTCGAAACATTTTGACACAATTCAACGAAAATCGGACTTGTGCCATTTTTACAAGTACTTTGCTGTATTGCAGGGTTGTCCAACTTTGAGTCAAGACAGTGCTGTGGCGAACAGTGCGTAGTAAGTGAAGTGCGAATGAATGGGAAGAATGAATGGTTATGTTTATAATGAAACAAGTATGAATGATGTGTGAATGTAATAAAAAAGAAGAAAAAATATTTCGCCCGTAAATTAACAAACTCTGTAGAACTATAGTAGTCACAAAACCGATCTTAGTGTAAGTTAGTAATGGCAAAGTGCAAGTAAGTTAACTTTAGGACTAGTATGTAAAACATAGCTGTAAGAAAAAGTCCTTTAGCTGCTCAAGCCGCAAAGCAGCAGCTTATTATTAATAATTTAAAGGAAATAAATTCCCCTTCTCCACAGAGTTACTGTGGAGGGGACAAAGGAAAAAAAGGGTTGTCCAACTGGCAGCCCGCGATGCCATTAAGGGCGCCTTCCCACGTCGCGACGGCAGCGCGGTTCCGTCAAGACTCTCGCCACGCGAAGCGGTGGAGATAGTACGCGCGACCGCTAGCAGAACACAGCTTTAAGGACCCCTTCCTACGCCGCGACCGCGCCACGCTTCGCAGCAGCGCGGCGCGTAGCAGAGCATTGGTTTGAATGGCGACCTTCGCACGTGCGGCTTTGCCGTCTCGCCACGCGCAGACGACGCCGAACTCCAGCTACGCGAAGCGGAGGAGGGGGTACGCGCCACCGCTAGCAGTGCACAGCTTCAAATGGGAGCCTTCCCACTGTGCCGCCGGTCTCTGCGTTTTACCTGCTGCGGTCGTCGTCGGAGATGTTCGTCGTCGCCGGAGGGCCGTCTGCCGTGGCGGCATGGGAAAGCGCACTAAGGTCGGCTTCCCACGGCGCGGCGGCAGCGCGCTTCCTTCAAGGAGCAGAGCTCTTCCGACGCAGCCACCGCCAGAGCCACGGCCGCACCGCCGC